CAAAATAAACTCTCTTAGAAGAAACAACAATGAATATAACCGTGAAGTTTTAATATAGACACTGACTTGCTTGTCAAAAGATACAAACTGTTAAAAAGACAATTTTTACAAGACGAGTAAATTTTTAAACTTAAATTATTGACTTATCGAATGACTACTTTGATATGAAACTTCGCAAAAGATGTGGTATTAAGTCTATTGGTATTAAGTCTATTTTAATAAGAGACTAAGTTAGCAAAATGTTATGATATTGTTTAACTTTGCATAACTCGAAATGTGTACAGCGGAATAAAATATTAAACAACGAACAAAACACTCAAGTGTACATATATTCACGTTATAATATAGCCAAGTTTAAGAAGAATGAGAAAGTATGTGTAATTAAATGCTAAAATATACCTTGAAAATATTTTGAAATGTTTGAAAATAAAAACACGTTATAAGAAATGCCGGCTATTGAATATTGGCTAGCTATTGAATAAATGACTCGATAAGTAATGGCTAGAATTCGTCAACTAATAGCAGAGATATTAAGGGAGGCCATAATATCTATAAGGGCCATGATATTCTTCTGTTTTTTTCATCAAACAACATGGCTGAATTTAATGAAACGACAGTCTCGTTCAAAATTATATTTGATATTAAATTATGTTGTTTACACTAATCAAACCTAAATCAAACAAACACGTATACGACATCCAAAGAAACCTTTCTCTCTGTGCACGCATGACTAATAGCAAAGTCGAGACGTAATTAAATTATATCGCAGCGCGCGCGAATAAAAACGAAAATACTCTGTTATTTAACTTCAGCTCTTCTTTCGGCAAATGCAAAAGTACGAATTGAAAATTGCAACGTATCACGTGCGTGCACGCGTGCGCGCGGACACGCATGGTACGTACAGTTAATTGTAATTTATGCTCGGTCGACTTGGAAGCTTTGCATCACGCGCGGTAACTTCGTTTGCACGGAAATGTTTTCGTGTTGTTTCTCGCTTCGGATTAATTTTAGAAAATAACCCGTTTAATTAATCGCCGGCTTACTCGCGACCGAGCCCAAGATGCTGCTTGTGTATCCCGGTGCGGGGCGCAATCTGTATACAGATATTTTTCGAGCGCGCACACCGCGCGAGCACGCGGCAATTGCGAGGTAGGCCGCAACCGGGCTTTGTCTTCGCACCGAATCGGCCCGGGAGAAAAAAAAGCGGCCGATCGAACTGCGTCGGGATACCCCTCTGTACGTGCGCGCGCGCGTGCGAAGTATATACATGCCTGCTCTCTATCTCTCTCTCAGGGAAAAGACCAGCGATTATTGAGCGGGCAAAGATAAAAGGTCGGTTCGCCTTCCCCATAAAGTAAAGTGAAGTGTACGCGGCTTCACTTTATGCTGATCGATTTGTGGTGATTTTATATCTTCGCCTGTCCATAGTTCTATACCGGCGGCGGAGATGCCGCGGTTCAAACAGGCCGCGATACTTTATATCTGCGGTATAAACGCGAAATTGAGCTTTACATATTCCGGACAGAAAGAGCCGAGGCTCGAAGCGTTGCTCGCAAGAAATTTCTTTGTGCTGTCCATAGTCGATCGCTTTAGTCGGAATGCTCTCAGAATCGATATATATATATATATATCATGTGTGTGTGTGTGTGTGTTTCGCGCACACAAAAGAAAGAATAATTCAACAATTACGTAATATTGCGTAAAATATATTTTCGAAATTTGTTGAGAAATGACGGCATGCTTATTTATGCAATTGCAATTCAATTGATATCTCATAAATATTATGCGTTTTTATTTTGGATACAAGTGATAAAAGGTTAGACTTAGAAATGTAGTATAAATTTTTATTATAATTTTATATCGTATAAATACTATTACAATTTATTTTTTCTATTTATACGATTATAACCCGTACCATATATAGTATTCCTTATAAATCTTTGTTTAATCTTATATAATTGTCTCTGAAAGAGATAAACGTACATCATGACAAAATATATTATCTCACCACGGCAGTGATAGACATTTAACGTTTTAACGTAATTAGAAATTGCATGATAACGTTCAAAACTTACTAATTATCTGTTGCACATTATATAGTCGGTTTTTTTATAAAATATATAAATCTTAATATCATTAATAGCTAAGAGATCAAGACATGTGCAAACATATCTTGGATTATTGAGGACGTATGTATTAAGAAATCTATATACCGTAGATACACGTACAACTACGAGACTGAATTAGTCCTCTCAAATAGGACACTTGGACTCGGAAGAACCTTCTTGATCTGTAGAAATATCCTCAGCTGCTAGAGCGAGAACTTCTTCGCAAACGCGCTTGTACACCCACGCGTCACCCTTCAACCTCTTCCGACGAATGCCAACTAATGGTTTGTCGTTCGAACCAGTCTCCAAAAGGCAGACCTCGAGTTCAAAGGAACAGGAATTCTGCGAGCAAATCGACTTCGACAATTCCTTCTTATCTTCCGAAGATTCCTCGGTTTCACCTTGCAAGATAAATCTACGGAGAAGCGTTAACCTTCGATAACACGAGCTTTATGGAAAACGGTTTAACAATAAAATTATAATTACCCTTTCTGACGACACATTATACCCTTTCGTCGAAGCGCTCTTCGTAATTTTGAGAGAACATACTTTGGACAACTACTACATGTTGAAGACACATTGGAGAGGCCCTTCGAAAAGAAAATCAACTTATGAATGTTTACTCACGTGTAACGTGAGTGTACACAAATGTACTCAACATGTACTCAACATGTACTTAAATTTCTAACGATGAAATCTTTATGTACAACTTTTCGTGCGATCGTACCTTACCGGACAATATGCTCGGTTCATCGGGATCTGCATTTTCGTTCTTCACTCGTCTCTTCGGAGTGAGAACGTATCTTACCCGATTCAATCCTCGCTCTAAGCCCATCATAACTTTTCTCGCACTGCTGGGTGTGGACACTTGAGTATTTCTACAGAAATATATTTTTAATGAGATATCATATACATCTCTCGCGTTTTCTTTCTTACATAAGAAAGTTACATGACGATTTCTCCAATCCACTCGAAAAATTACCTGGCCTCCGGTGTTACGGATTGCGTTGAAGTACTATTCAATCTATTCTTTTCAGTTGGCCTTTTCGCTGGAATAATAAAATTACAAAGATAAAATCTCTCAGGAGTGTGTATAAACGAAATACATTGTTCATGTATATATACATATTATCAACACATATATAAGTACGCCTAAAATAGAAGAATATCTGATACTCTGAACTGATACGGATAGGAAGGATTTAAATGCGGTTGAGTGCTTGAGGAATGCTGGAATCTTCTGAGGAGTTTCGGATGAGAATTCTTGTATATGGTGATTCTTAAGTTCAAATTGCGTTTGTTAGCAAGTCGTTGCTCTTCTCCAGGTAATTATCCGCTTTTCGCGAGACTACCGTAATTTATTGCACTCGCGAACTTTCATTAAAGTTTCTAATTAGGTGGTGCTGGCATCACCTAATTAGAAGTGAACTTTAGAAAATACAATCACGAAACTAATTGCAGCTGCGACGCGACAATATATAATTGTATATAAAATATGTGTTTATAAGTAGTATTAAAAAACAGGCGCAGTGAACATTTCTGCTGCCCGAAAAATAGCGAAACAAACGATTAAAAATTAAAAATGATAAAAATCTACAAACCACACGAATAAAAAATAACATCTAAGGATTTAAAAAAGAAGGCTATAAAGAGAAATGAAACTTATTAATATGTTCATACATCATAGTAATTGATTATAACAATCAAGAGAAATTCTTTCTTAGTGCAAATTAATGATGAATATATTACGATACAAGATGAAATGCTTACCAGGAGATGATACGTCATCAGGTTCTCTGCTTCGTAATCTTTTTCGTGTTGGTATACAAGGTTCTGTGAAGTTATTCACAGTATTATTATCTGGATTAGGCAAAACGTTATATGTCACATCAATCACAGGAGATTTTCTGTCGTTCCTTCTGGATCTTGGAGACTGGTCGAGTTTAGTAATAAAATTGTTCACTCCTGCTTCACGTTGTGGAAAATTGATGCCATTCTATAATTCAAAATAATGAGAAATTTACAACTATATATATATATATATATATCGATTTTATATCAGAAAAAAAGTAGCTCTAGTATATATATAAGCAGTAATAATCATTTGTAAGATTCTCTTGATATACAACTAAATAGAAGAAACAAAGAAAACAGACGATTTAGAGTTAAATGTCGAATTTCAATGAAATGTAAACATAGACTAAATTTAATCGTCATTAATTATATGAATCGTGCGCATTTCAATCTTTTCTTTGGATAATCTTCAGCGAGTTACAAAGTCAAGATATAAAATATGAGTAAAGCAGAGTGAGCATGAAAACTAAACAATGTTGACCTATATACGGAATAATAAGTATCTCAACAAAAGAGGTAAACGTATAATTCATATACTCAGTGACTAAATTTAGTCTGTTTTTAATGTTCGCCTGAAATTCAGTGTTTGATTCTAAATTGCCCGTTTGTTTATTCTGTTTCTTCTGTTTAGGAAAAGTATACTAACCACTTGGGTCTTAAAATATGATCTTGTTACAGGAGTTACTTTCAACGAAAGTCCACGTGGTTTCCTATCAAGTAATAACAAATATGTAGCCGTTCTATAATCAGACCGATCGCTTTTCACAAGTTTCCTCCATATGTCAGTGCTGTTCTCACCACAAATAGCGGACATAGTGCTCAATACTTCGTCATCCTTTTCAAACTAATGGTTCATATGTAAAAAAGAATTTCATGAGATACTTAGACACATATATAGAGAACGAGAAATGCTTACATTGGTTCTGTGGACGAATGATACAGGTTTCAGAGAATTTGATGTAATCCACGGATGATTACATAGTTCGTCAATAGTGATTCTCTTCGCTGGGTCGATTTGCAGCATCTTTCTGATTAGCATTTTACTATCATTAGACAACCAATATGGTTCATCGTATTTGCCATTCTGAAATATAATATATATATTTATACGAGATAATATACAGATAACAACTGAAACTCACAAGTATCTTTTTATACAAAGTCTCCAAATTATTGTCGTCAAAGGGTAGAAAGCCACACAATAAAGCATAAAGGAGAACTCCCATGCTCCAAATGTCTACTTCTGAGCCTGTAAAATTTCGTGACATTAGGCAATAAATTATATAACAAAATACAAAGAAGTACTTGAAGAAAGCTTACGTACCTAAATATTTTTTTCCCATTATAAGTTCTGGAGCGGCATAAGTAGGAGAACCACAAGAGGTATACAAGTGTGATTGCATTCCAGTCCTGGGTTTCGCACATAGTCCAAAGTCAATTAATTTTAAGTTCTCTTCTTTATCCAACAAAACATTCTCCTGTTGATAGAAGAAAAAATAATCCAACTATGACAACAAGTATCGTTAGACCAAAAATGTACTTACAGGTTTCAAGTCCCTGTGAGCGTATCCCAAATTGTGCATATAAGCCACAGCAGAAACTATTTGACGAAAAAACTTACGAGAGTCAGCTTCTGATAATCTATTTTTTTCCACTACAATAAAAGAGTATACAATAAATAGAAACTTAAATGGCTCTTTAGATATTCAATCATAATATATAAATGACCAATGAAAGTCTATGCATGGAAAGTATAGTGTGATATTAAGGAAAATTTAATATATTCATTGAAATACATCCTTTAATATCCTGAAATATGAATCCTTTTTAATAGTAGGAAATTATTGACACCATTGGCGATATTATATCACATTATCAGCTAGCGTATATGTAAATATTGACAATCTGATAAATATTTGACTAATGCTGATATCAAGTTGTCATAATAACTTCTAACTTTTAACTTTTTTTTTAAAAGAATCCAGTCTAAGATTGAAATATTTGGACAAATAAAATTATATACATGTCTGAACAACTTTTGATATGTTTCAGGGAATACTTTCTCATTTGCCATTTATACGTAAAAAATATGTCTCTCAATAATATTTCGAATTTTTAAAAATATAGTTATTTAGATTATCTCTTAATCATTACCTATATGGTCAAACAATTCTCCTCCAGAGCAATATTCTATCACCATAAAATAATGACTCTCTGTCTCTATGACCTGATAGAGTCTGCAGATATGTTGATGCAACAATGTCTTAAGAGCCTCTACTTCCAGCTTTACTCTTGGTAGATCTTCCTGAAATGAATATAGCATTATGATACACCTATTTTACACTGAGACAAAAATGACAAGATGTAAGATTCACTCCAGTAAGATAACAGAAATAGTTTCATCATTTGTAATCCCACTTACACCCAATGTTGTCTTGTCCATAATTTTAATAGCAACCTTCTCACCGGTAGCAACGTGAGTTGCCAATTTGACTTTAGCAAAACCGCCGCTACCGATGGTCTTTTCCAGGTCGTAGAGTCCTTTAAGAGCAGCATATCGTACCATTGTGAAACTTTCCACAAAGAATAGATATCATCAATAGATATCCGACAGATATCCTGGATCTCGCCTTGTTTATCCTGTAGTTTATGGCTGCTGGAAGCCCTGAGGCACTCCTTTACATACCATTCTTCTAGGATCTCGCCTTCACTACCGCATTAACTTTCAAACCGCACTTTTCTAACGTAAACAACTTTTGACAACCAATCAAGATTGCGCTCGACGGCAGCGCCCACTTTCTCATTATCAGTGATGCCAATCTGAAGCGCTCGTAGCAGCAGTATAGTGAAATATACAACTACGTCGGTAACATTACCGACGAGATATTACTAGAAGTTCTCAACCCTGGGTAAAATCTCGCGTTCAGTTATCAACGATAAAAGTCGGAAAGAACTAACATTAATACAGTCGGCATAATGATAATTGCAACACTTTTTTCGATGAGTTTCGCAATGTAATTCGCATCCAGTAAGAAAATGTATTTCTTCAGAATTATTAAAAACGAATTTCCATTGGACATCAAAAGCGTTGAGAAATTTATCGAAAAAAAAGTGCAATATTTATTATGCCGACTATATTAACATTTACCGACTATTTCGAACGTTATGAATATATGAAAATATATAGTCTTTTATATATATATATATATATATATATAATACAATATATATATTTTATGACTTATTATTTTAACTATATTTTTCACATACATATATATGCGCATTTACCACACGTAATATTATACATTTCTGCAATGAATTATTTTTTCTATATTCCAGAAAAATCAGTTATTTAAAATTTAACTAAAATTTACAAATCGTCACCCAAATTCGCAAACGCATTATTTACCTTTTTTTAGTTTTTATTCGACTTATCGACTTACCTTATTTTTCTCCAGCCGGTCGAAAACACAAAACACAGAAATTCAAACTCCAAATTATTATACAGATGCAACGATTTAATCGACACTTTCGACCAAACGCATTCCCGACAATCGGAAGTGTCGAGATTCCGACGATTTCGCGCACAAGATTCTTCGTCGTGTTGAAATCGAAACGAGTAGCGATTTGAATTTCGAGCCGCCATTACTTCGTTCGACACTCCCGGCAAACCATTCCACGAGATATTCACTTTCGACGGTTTTTTAATATTGTCACGGCAAACGCATGAAATTTACTTTCGACACTCTCAACGATAACCTGCGCTCCGGAACTGCGATGACCCGAAATTGCGAAAAAACATGAAGCAGCTTCCCGAACATATACTACCGTGTCACGATCCGTTAATTGAACTGACTATAGCTGCAGATCGCAAATATTAGGTCTGTTCGTTTTCGCTATACCGCTGAACTAGTGCAATAAGTTGAAGTGAGAAAATATGTATTTGTCTCGCTTCAACTTATTACACTAGTTCGGCGATACAGCGAAAACGAACAGACCTATTGAGATTCCCAAAGCAATTGAATTGATACGTTTGGTACAGTTAGCCAACCAATCACAGTGGCTTATTTATTTCTAAAAAAAAACGCAGCACGAGATGCGCATAAGATTGCTTGAGATAATATATATAAAGTAATAATAATACTTATAATAGTAATATAATAAATAATAATACTTATAATAGAAATATCGGCTACCACAAATGTACTTGCAAGCTTACCTTTGGTACACCAGACGATGGCTTTGTATACGGGATTCTCTTTCGAGTCGAAACACAACGGTCCGAAAAATTGAACTCCAAGCTGCTATAAAGAAGCCAGTTGCGTGATGCTTCGGTCGGTGCTTCGGACGTGATAAGTTATTCCACGACATATTTGCTTTCGAGAGTTAATTGACGCGACATGTCACAAGAAACGTGCGAAATTGATTTTCAGCATCCCGACGATAATTCACGCGAGATTCGCCTGAGAGACGAACTGAAGTCGCGAAGAACACGAGATGATTTTCCACGTACGTTTTACTGTCGCTATTTGCCCGATAACTGAATGTAGCCGCATTTGCTACGATTGAGATACTCAAATTATCGTGCAACGATCAACCAATCAGGAGAGTCTATTTCATTTGAAAATCGTACAAACCGTACCACGTGACCGTACCTCTCGTGGCAATTACATGTAGTTCCACGGCGGTTCGAACTGATGTCGTGACCGCCCCGTGTATTCGTTGCATTCTTTCCTCCGTCGAAAGTGAATTCCACGCGCGAACGAGTGCCGGGAATGTCGATTCCATGATGGGCGGTCGTTCCAGCGTTTAAATCGGCCTGCGCGAGTTCGATCAGATGTTGATGCCTCGCGATGATCCTGTAACCGGTGTCCGCTGCGTCACGTCGGAACATAACCCCATATGAGCACAAAGGAAGAAGGGAATTCTTTTCCATTCGACGAGACGGGCGCTCCGAGATTCCGATTCGACGCGATATTATACCTTCGTACTTCGGTAAGTTTGCACTTTTTGCGTGGTGCTGCATTGAGGCGAATTCGGTATTTTCAACAAAGAGATTTTATCAAAAATCAACCCCGGACTCGTTCGTTCCCTGTAGACGCCGATGTCGTTTCTCATGAAACTTTATAAACAGTATTTAATCATACCTTAGTCAGTGACGGTTGTTAATATAGTTTCCTTGCGAAGGTAACTTATGCAACTAAATACCGAACGTTGATTAGAGAGAGATCCATTGCAATGTATTTTGATTGTTATTACAGTTTTTTTGAACCGTTAACTGTTGAAGTGAAGTGGCAAACTGCAACATCGTCTTAAATAAAATAAATAGTGAATTCTCTCTTAAAAAATTGGTAATGCGCGTTAGAATATGGGTCGGGAATTGTTATTTTTATACAGTGTAAAAGATGGCGGCGTTCATTTGACATGCAAACAGCCGATGCGCAAAATGTACAGTTTATCGGAATGACAAGTTCATCAAAGGACAATATTGATAAACGATGAAACTTTGTCGAGTGTGCAAGCTAAATATCTGTCCTGCAGTTAGAAATTATGGCAGTCAAAGGTTTGAATCTCGTTCTGTGGTTTTTGTCGAATTGTTGAGCTCAAACTGTTCCTTTTAGCTGCACTTTCTGTACTTTCTTGCAATCTTTCCCTTATGTTTTCCTCCAAAACACAGTACATTTTATCTTACTCGGAATGCAGAAAGTAACATGATGTAGTTAAAGGTGAGAGTTATAAAAATAGTTGTAACGTGACTTCATCAATATATGTGATATTTAACACATTTTTCCTTAGATACCAGCAAAATTATTATGAGACGTTAAAAGTTTCACCTGAGGCATCGCAGGAAGACATCAAGCAAGCCTTTTTCAAATTGTCAAAGCAAGCAAGTATTTAATATGTATCAAAATTAATATTCTGGATTGTTTACTTTTGATGAAAAATACCTTTGATGAAGGATATCTGTTAACAACAATATTTTGATATTTTGATGTTTCTCTGTGATATATCTTTATACAAACTTTACTTTTGTTTTTATTAGCTTCATCCTGATATTAATGGAAAAAACAGTCACACTGATTTTGTGAAACTAAATGAAGCTTATTCAGTACTAGGGAAGGTAAATACAAGACGCAAGTATGATGCAGATATAAAGTATAGGTATAATCCATATACATATGGCTATTCACAGGACAAGTAAGATTACATTCAGTATGTTATAATATAGACTGTATCGATACAATAATTATTAGTTAATGACAATGTGACGAATGCTCCCTTATAATATTATACTAAATAATCCATATCGATATAAATATACCGGAATAAAAATAGACTTGATTTAAGAAAAAACTCTTTAGTTGGTTTTGGTTATAAGAAATATAATGTAATTGATAAAAAATGTAATATATTACAGACAATATGGGAGTCAGTGGGAATATGAGGTACGTACAGCAGGAGGAATGTGGCCACCTCCTAAACAAAAACCAAACTCATCTATTGGACTCGTTGTCTCCCTTTTATTTTTCGGGATGGGGATGTTTCAACTCATTTTTATGGTTTATTCGATGAAAGTGAAAAACCTTAATCAATTACGAAGTATACAATTAGAACATCAGTATCAGGATATACAAAATGTATCACGTAATCGATACAATAACATACGTGAGCTAGAAGCAACAAATCTTAACGAGTTCCTTGCTGAGAACGATAGTGAATGTAAATAAACATTTTATTAGTAACTGGATTAAAAGAGAGTAACACAAGTTGTTGCAGATATCAGTATTTTTCTTACCTTTTCATGTTTTCCCGATATGGTTTTCCTTGCCATATTAAAGAATGAAAAAACATCACTTTTTTATAAGTGGACCTTAAGTTCAAAATGAAGTTTTATATTTGTAATTTTGAGCTCTGCTTTATTCTCATCAAATTCTATTTACAGTTCAAAATATGGAAAATTTAAAAGCGTGTGATATTTTTAATATAGGTTTGATTCTATAGATTTGAACCTAACCTAACCTAACCCTTTTAATAAAATACCTAATATTCTTTTATATAAAAAGATGCAAGGATGAATAACTGCTTTTAATCATAATTACATTTTGAAATCTTTACAAAACCTTTTTTTACAATAAAAATTAGTGCACCTGCAATAAGGAAAAAAGTTATTTTAATAATGAAACCTGTTCACTTATATATACTTTACATTATATCTTATGAATGATATCATACGATGTAAAGAAAGAGTGAATTAATCGTTAAATAACTTATGTCTGAACATTTTTGTGACCACGCGCCGATAGTACAATTTTTTTTATGTTATAAATAATTACAATCAATTTCTCATTATTTCAGAATAATTTATACCTCTTGAAATCATTATATCTATTGCCATATCACTTACAATATACATCTATCTTTCTATGCTGTACAATAAGTTATAAAATATAGCGATTTCGTTTTCCTCGGTCGTGTTTGAAAAATCGCGGTCGTATTAACTATACGTCTCTAACACGACTTTCTTTCTTAAAACAAACGTTTCGTGTCGGGTCTTCAGTTTTAGAGATGACTTGATATGGTCCTCATAATTTCTTCACATATGAGGTCACCGATGTATGAGGTAACACAGGTGAAAAAATTGGCTTTCCATCGTCATCCACGTAGTCACTGTAATCGAGCTTGTACACCATGTCGAAGCCGGCTCGTGCGCAGAGCTTGGCGGAGAACAGGGACGTGCAGTCTGCCCTCACGTAATGAAACTCTTGTTCCTTCGCGATTTCCCTGCAACGCAAATGAATGGAAAGCATCAGTTTACGTTTTCTGATCTTTACATCAACCGTCTTAAATGGAATCAGTCAACGTTAGTACTTTCTTCGTTGCATAATTAAATAACGGTGACGTTGCAGACACTACAAACGCCGATTTAAACGCGTTACTTGCATCACGTAATACTTACACCGTCTTTTCTATAAGGGCCTTCGCGATGCCTTGTCCCCTCCAATTTGTATCCACCGAGATTATTCGAATCTCCATGATGTTCAAGTCCCGAAATTGACCGCCTGCGTTCACCCTTTCATCCACGTAGCGCAGTAATCGCAATATTTTCTTGAATTTCACGTTTGTGCATGACCATATGTATTCTGGCTCTTCGCTCGACGGAGGATCCATTTTGCCTATAAAGATACATCTCGGGTTATGTATTGAGTCGATTAGTAGCCCATTTACATACATTTGTTCATTTTAAAGTTACCTCTCTACTGCGAGCGTTATATATAGTTCATAAATCGCGTTTTGCCTATACTTATTAATATGTAATCAAACTATGTTAAACTGTATGTAATGGGGCAAATGATTATAACGTTTCCCTTATTTGCTATCTCGTCGCTTATAATATATTATCACATACAAGTTGCAGTAACCATTAAAAGTTCCTCTCTCGTGATCATGCGAGCCATTAGCAATTATATGCGATTATTCGCGACGCTCCGAAACAAAACTATTTTTTTTTTAGTTTTTTTCTTTTTTTTCTCGCTTAATTTTCCACGCTTGTTCTAATAGATGCGATCCCATGCACGTGACGGATATAGCCACGCGCCTTGCGATGAATTTACATGTTACTTCAATGATGGCCGTTAATTGCGACCCAAGTGAATTAAATTAGCAATCGCACAAGTGGTATGACGAATAAAGAGTGTATACGTGTGTTTTGTTCGCGGAAAATCACAAATAGACTAGCAGTGACATATTTTCGAACAAATTGTGCCATCGAATCGCTCGATACGCGGTTCCGCGGATATTATCGATCGTTTAGAATATCTTGCTAATGCCTCTCGCAGCACTGTTAGAACAGCATGACTCGTATTTGAGCGATGTTTCATTATAATTTTCGTAATCTTGTTTGCGTGTTTAACGCGCATTCGAATGTGGATACATATTTATTAGCAGAATCCGTGCGCGATGCAGTTATCTATTTTGAATCACAACCGGTATTGTATAATAGCTCACGGAGTCATTCGAGATCCATAACGCCTTACGTAACACCGAATGGTACCGTTGTATCTCTTCGGTTTCCTCCTCGTGCTGCATTTATCTACATACGTGATATATCTCAAATTAACGGGTAATTTTTTGCCTCTATTCAACCGAGACTTACGCGCACTAAAAAGAGTACGAAGACAAAAACCGTTTATCCTCTCCATTTCTTGCCCATATTCGTTTTATTGTCCATATTCGTCTTATCTCTACGTCTTATCTCTACGTATTATCTATCTTTGCATATTTATTTTTTATTTCTTAGACACTAATGAAGATGCACGTGCCGCGTCGCAAATATGAGATACCGAAGCAACGCAAAAACGATTTATTTAACGCAACATTATCCATTCGATTCGCGATTAACGTTTCAACGATACGAGCAACACGAGACAAGCGTGAAATTGAAATGAAATTCCAAGGTTTGATTATGTACGTTAATTGGGAGAAATGCTACACGGCAAGTTTTCCAAGAATGCATTCACGATGACGACATTCCGGCATTCGGAAAATATAGCGCGATGATTGACCCGGATGTGATGTAAAACGGTGGGCAAACAAAATTTGTCGCAGTGCGAGGTCGATCGTATACAAGTCGAGCTGGTGCCTCGAGGGTGTAAACGAAGGATGTCGCGGACATTGACATCGAAGTTTTGTGGAACACCCGTTGAGCGGATGAGAGACTGTCGCGATCTTACCATTGAGTATAACTCCGACAATCGCACCACTCGCGGAAACTGCCATCAGACTGAAGTTGTTTCCAAGCGATGCATTGCTGCAGTAGTCCTCGAGTTCTATGCAGGTACTATCTTCGCCTTCCGGGATTAACTTAATATACTGATTGAGCGGTTCGTCCCTGAAGAAGAACCTCCTTAGGAATTTCAGTACCCTCAGTTTGTCATCCTTGTTGATTATCTCGATATGATAATCCATATCGCTGTTCGACCCGTCGGCCGAGTCGGCCAACTGAAATGAAAATATCACGGGGTCGGATTTTGCGAAATTTTCGAAATTTTCGCGATTTCTCGGAAATTTGACGAGAATGATAGTAAAGACTCTACAGAATCAAAGCAAAGAAAGAGGGCAAATAAGAGCTAAACGCTACTATTAATATTGAATATTTACAAGTATATTAATTAAACAGTGAAGCAATGAAGATGAAGTTCAAAAATGTGCGTTTCGGTCCATACTTTTTGGACTCTCTTCAGCGTTACAAAAGTAAAAAGAAAAACGATTTGTTATCTTGACAAGGAATTTACTTAATATCACGAAGAAACGAAGAAATAACGATGCAATTTTCGTATTGGACGTTTGATTTATCATCACCCACTATGTTTACATTCAACAGTGGATGTACGGTGTTTTAATTGCAGCAACATCGCAACACACCTTGACGGGATTTTCATGTTTGACCGAGGCATTAAGCCGAGAGCATTGCGCAATTCGGACAATGACAAGTGCAAACTTAATGTTAATTCGCGCGAAACACTGTGACATCGTTTCCGTGGGCTCGAAGGAGGTTTTCGCGCACGGGCGATACTCAGGCCGTTCTCAGCGTCGTTGATGCGCGTGAGACATTCTCATTTATTCAGCGTTTTATCGAGATCGGTCGTTACGCGGTCAACGTCACCCGTGGCTTTAATTCGTCATTGATCTACTTCTAAGCAGTGATTTATAAGAGTCGATAAGACGGCAGATTGCGAGCGCAGATGACGCGCATTTCGGGAACGAGTTTCGCGAACCACGAAATTCTCGAAGGAACTGGAAGACACGTAAAGCATGGAGACTCCGAATGAATTTCGCCTTGTGTGATATACGTTATCTCGGCCGCTAGAAATGCAAAGAGATTTCGTAAAATGTAAAGTTCCTTCACCTTGGACGTTACGCCGTTGTTACGATTCGCAGTGTCCTTCCTGCGACTGTATTATTTCGATGATAACTATTAATTAAAGCTGACAATATTTGTCGCGACAGAACCGCACGCTACCCGCGAGCATTACCGTACCATCACGCTTCCGTTAGCATATACGTTTTGAAGATTACATCGTCAATTGTCTTTGTCACATCAGTCATCGTGTCAAGGGAACCGCATTCTTACCTGCGCCAGGAGACCTTACGTACATTCTTTTCGATGTAATTAATAATCTGCATAATAATATCTGGTGTCCTACAATTGCCGTGAGAGAATGATTAGATCATCGGGCTAGAGCATTATGCGCTACGTTTGCTCATATATCATTGACCAAGGCGAAGCGTACAACGCATCCTATTCTTCCGTGCAAAGGAGTATCATTTACTTCGAGAGAGAAGAATATCGTCGCGCAATCGATGACATTGACTGACTCGGCAATTGAAATCGACGCTATGGAATTCGACGTGACTTATACGCGAAACTGATCTCTGCGCCTTGCGGCCGGAACAACGATGACAATCGCCCAAGTCGAAATTCTATATTAAGTCTACTTGGTTCTATATTATTAAGTCTTCATTAAATCTTCCATGTGCTCCTTTGATACTACGAATGGAAAGTTATTTCCGTTTTCTCCACCTAAAAACTTAATGTAGGATTAAAATTTCGACACAGACATTCCCGAGTTTGTCCCGGATCTACTTAGCTCTAAATCTTCAAGTGGAGGAAACAGAAGTAATTTCGCACTTGCAGCATCAAAGAAGCACTAATAATGCTCCTTTAATGCTACGGGGAAAAAGGGAATTTAGACTTCTCCGGAGGGAAATTTTACATTCTATATTAAGTCTTCAAGTAGAAAAAACAGAAATATCTTCCTATTTATAACATCAAAGGAAGTATAATATAAGATCTTTGAAGACTTCATATAGAATTGAAATTTCGACTTGGATTCGTTCGAGGTACGCTTCTGCCATCTCACGATCTCGTACCGAATATGAGCTCTCCAAAAATATACCGATATCTCGAAGTGAAGCATCTCACGGGCGATATATCACACGAAACGCGGTAAATTTGACGCTCCTCGAGCCGGTCCTCAAGACGAACAGAGAAAAATTTGTCACTGACGTAGCAAATTGTTACAGTAGTGACAACAAAAAGATTCGTTTGGATAGCAAGAAGATTTATTTGAACGGCAAGAAGATTTGTTAAGAATATTAATTGCTAATTATGCCAATTAAATTTTATTGCTGTCGCAACGACGTATTGCTACAATAGCAAAATTATTTTTTCCGTGTAACAAATCTTCGTTGTGCCAGCGAAAAATTTTTCCCCGTCAGTGCCGATTAAATTCACGTTCAACGATTCTTCGCTCTGGCTCATCTTACCGAGTATCTCGCAATCTTCGGCGCATCTTTCACGAAACTGGCGGCGGCGTTGATCTTTTCGGTGTCGATGCGCGTCGCATCGACCAGATTTGAAACGCGTATGCTCTCCATGACGAACAATAAATGTCCAGGGAACTTTGCACTTTCTGTCAAACCACGGGCGAGACGAGGAGTTTTGGATGTCGATGCGTGTATGAATTACGGGGACCGACTGTGGAAGTGAGTTACTGCTAAGAGCTGACAACGCGATGGCCGTTGTCGTCGAGGTGGTAATCTAACACTGCGCATTGTGATAGAACGCCTTCCGTCTTATATACGCTCAGTAGCAGCAAAAGGCGCTCTTACAGGTTCAGGGACAGGCAGATATAATTTAGAATCGTCAGGATCGGTAATGTCTCCGTTCAATACGAAGGATATCTAATTAGCCTTGTATCGACTACTCTACAAGCGTTATATAATTATGTTGCGGCTTCGTATGATATTGCAAAAATTCGTATTATCATTCGTGGAAAATTACATTCACCGGTTCTCCGCCGGTTTCTTATCGTTGAAACACGTGGCGGATGGGATGAAACCGCGATAATGATGAAACCCGGATAATGATGAAAGAATGATGAATAAAATATGTTGATTTTGGCCGCCGAAGTGGCAAATAAAAGTTCTTTTTGTAGTTTTTGAGTTGCTGAGTTTGATTCTGATCTTTAAACAAATTTTAATTTGTCGGGGAAATATTAAAATTAGCATATTAAGTTATTAAACACCTAGTATCGTAAATTATTATTATTGAGCGTTATGAATGTATTCATTCGTATTTTCTTGTTAGTAAAATATGATAATGCTCTAATGGTTCATAATTCTGATTAGCTCTGATTAGTTCTGATTAGCTCACACCCGTGCATTCTGTACATTGAAACCTCTTTATGATCACATTCTCGGGGCCGAAATGTTATTATTTATTTTTTTCTCAATACTTTGTTTCATTCTTATGTATATATTCCTCTACAATATATAGATTTTTGTTCATTAAATGTATTTTACTATTGTAGTATTTTACTATTGTGGTATTTTACTAATGAAATTGTAAGATTTACACAAAAAACATTTTCGAAATCTATCAAGATCTTTGGCCGAATAAGGCCTTTTCATTTATTAATTTGTTCACATATCAGTCGATTTTCACTTAATAATATTTATTTTATTATAGTTTTACATTTTCACTAACTGTTCTCATAATAGCTTCTTATGTATTTAATAGATTCATGTACTGATTTTTATATTTTTCCAACAAATTAAAATTTTTTAAAGGTCGGACTCAGATTCAGCAGCTCAAAAATTACAAAAATTACAAAAAAACATGCCATTTTTGTTTGCCACTCCGAAGATTAAAATCAGTCCATTTTATTCATTGTTTTTTTCGACATCGTGACACGAAACGATTCAATTTTTCGTGGAAAAGCATAAAACAATTTGTCAATTCGCGAGATTTCGCTAAGTATATATGTGAGTCGTTTTTGAAGTAAAAAAAATGATTTTGAGAAAATTAAAGAGTACGCATAATAGTGTCTAGTTACATGATCAGCAATAGGATCCGCTATTCTCAGATTGCACGAGTTCGATACGTGATTCTATGCGAATGAATAAGTACTCTAGCAGGACGACATTTGCCATTTAGAACTTATAGAATACGCGCGTTGCATACGAAATTAGAAAATAATTCCTGCCCGACGTTTCTTTCTCGCAATGGCCGTGCGTATGGCGAGGGTAATTAGTGTTAATTGGTACATCCGTGTGGTTTTAACACTCGACCTGTCGCTGTGTATGCAGTCGTCGGCTAATTGTCAGCGCTGTTTGCCGTGTGGGGCAATACATAAAAAATCAATTAAATTAATATGCATTGTTCGCTTTGCATTTGTAATTTAATCATATTGAAATATAAACACGCTTGCGTTTATATTTAAACATGTATTCTCCGGAAATAAGTCGAGAGCTTGACAAACAGTTTTGTCGTTCGTCGATCGATTTCTGCGTCGAATCCTCTCTGAACCGTGATTTTCTTAGCGTTTCCTAGTTACGCGATTTAGAACTTTTAATCGCAACGATCGAACGATCACTTTTACGAACTATTGTGATTTCCATTGTCCATAGGAAAACCGGTTTAATTCTAAACAGGTTCGGTTTTCAATGATCTAGTTTTCATCGAAACCTTCCATCCGGTTCTACTTCGTACCTTATGCGGTAGAAAACGAAATTTAAGTCGGTGGAAATGCGAACTTCACTACTACTCTTCTTCCAATAGAAGCACCACACTACACTTACATTCGCTCCGCACCGAAATAGAACCGGATTGAAGGCTTCGATAGGAACTAGACTAGAGTGTCGCAGATACAGGAGGAGAATGTATCTCCTCTCGTAGCAATGCACTTAATGTATCTATCTATAATATCTCGTTGTATCATTTGTACCCTTATATGATTGTGCCGAGAAGCAACATGGAACAGGACATGCTAGAAACAACGATTGATCGCTCCCTGTTCGCGTTGCGAAGGTCGCAAGATCGTAATCGTACGACTGTGTGTGAAATAGAATACGATACCTTAGAGAGCGAATGTCATATAGTTCAAGATTAAGGCTATCCTTGTCCTATATATATGTGTGTGTGTGTGTGTGTGTGTGTGTGTGTGTGTGTGTGTGTGTGTGTAAAACAGATGAATTAATCATTCCCAGATGCAATTTATCAAGTCCGAAGAGCGGGGTGAGTTTACTCTCTAAAAGCCTCGAAGTGAAATTTCACTCGAAAAGTGATAGCCGAGTCATTCAGATTCGAATGATTTTTCAGAGTAAACTCTCCATTCTAAATTGTCGAGTGAATATTTTCATTCGAACTGAAAAGTGAATCTGATATATTTCATTGCCGCGGGGACAAATTCACTCTAATCGATTAAAACGTTCATTCGTATGGAGTTGGAATCCACTCTGAGCTCGAATGAAGCACTTGTGATTTCGAGTGATAGTATCTTCACTATCGCTTCGAATGAAAATATTGTCAGTTTTCATTCACATAGAGAAAAAGATTTATTTGGATTTAGTATACGTATTTGTTCGACTTGGTTTAATATAAGTAACATAATTTAACCAACTATCTAATAATTTTATCAGCCATCATTTTATTTGAATAGAAATATTGTTACTTCACTAAACTATGTTTATTGATAGAAAAATATTATTTAGAAGAAATAATTTCCAACAAAAAAAATTATTTCTTTACATATTAAATATTGTTCTACTGAAACAATCAAGTTCTTTAATGTTTTTCTAACATTACTTACTAATAGTGTTATTTCTTCCACATAATTTATTGCTTGTGACAATTAGTCAATGTAATATGTTTGGATGAAAATACGAAAGAAATATGTTATTTGACATAAAAATATTTATTGTTTGACAAAACCAAACAATCCTTGTTTGTTGAGTCGAATATTTGCTTGTTTGTTCTATTCCAAAAGATAAATTTGTTTCAATTGAAGAGATTTTATTAAATCCAAAGAAATCTGTCTGTGCGCTGCAAGAAATTTATATAGAATAGAAAATATTGATGCGCGCGCGCACGAAATGTTTGTGGAATAGCGCTTTCGGAAAAACATCGCAAAGCATCGCGTCAGAATGCGGTAGATTCCTCGATCAATTTGAAGAAACGTTTCCGCGAGGTAAATAATTTTTTTTGCAGTTGTGTGTACAACGGTTATGCATTAAACATCCTAATCGTTTTCGCACGCGTGATCGTTCGGTTTTTAACGAGCTGTCCCATTTGTCCATCATACGGCGGTCAGCCCGTAATTTAAATAGTGCGAAGGCGCGGCAAGAATTATGAAGCATCCCGGTAAATGTGTATCCGCGCGCGATCTGCACATCGCTGCGGCTTTAGATTGTGATATTCGATAAGCGAAACGATCGATAAACGATTGACAATGACATACAGCAGCACTCTCGAACGTTCCTCGAACGAGTCCTTTCGAACCGGATGCGGTAGCGGCGACTCCTTCGGAACAAATGTGCTAAATAGCTTCCGTGTCCGTGGACGTCTGTGAGCGGCGGCAAGGTTTCGTTGTCGCGCACGATAATGCAAAGGCATTAGAATTTTCGAAAGGTCTTTACGTCGATAAATTTGCAGGCGAAAGCTGCCAGACGAAGGCATTCACGTTCTCGGACTTATCGAAAGCTAATTGTTAGATTCGTTATATCGCTATCTACAATAATTTATTTTTTTTTTTACACCGTCTTGAACATTTCTGTCGTTAGTGGACGGATAGAAGTTTCTGTCTTCTTGAATCTGATTCTGACAGCACAGATGACGCTTGTGCAACTTTATTATCGCGTTCGCTCGTGTGAGAGAGATATCGATTTTCAAGCATCCTTTTTAACGCACCGGGCGAACGCCGGTGAAATTCAATCCTTGCTCGTTGAAATCGGATATTTACCGGTGTATCGAATGCTCTGATATTCAGGACGCAACTTTATTCTGTTAGTCCCGGTTGTGCGAACTTGTTAATCGTCGAACGAAAATCAATTCTGCTGCAGCTTGACAAGTCGGTCGTAAGAGTAGAATCGCGCGTCGCTTCGGTTCGTCGCGATTCGTCGATGAAATGAAATCGGAGCTCGATAAAAATAACCGTAGGCCGACATCCAGCTTTCTTGGAATGGGAATAATTGATTTTGACTTTAATTGGGCCGCGAATAATGCTGGGGAAGGTCGATCACACCGTGTCGACTCGACAGGCGAACACGATTTATTGAAGCACTTTCGGCGCGCTCAATGAAGAACAGGTCCGTGTAGTCGCTGACAGCCGTCCGATCGCGATCCGGCTGTGTCGTTTTGATAGATCGCGCATACGGCAATTATGTATTCGATAGTGAACGATAGCGAGAACGCGGCAATCCTATTGACCGTTCGCTCAAGGACGCAGCCGCTGCCTCTAACCGGCGATATCACATACAGTTCTCCTCTTCTCACTATCGTTTACCGTCGAACGCATATTCCGTTCATTACGCGGCCAACACTTCGGGAAAAGTCAAGCGTAATCGATCGAACACACACATATACACGGGGGTAACGATCAAACATCCTTCCATTCACATTTGCGCGAGAAAAATATGCGCGTACACGTGCACCATCTCGTGATTGGATCGAGACACCCGGTCCCTTATCTACTCCGAAAAGTATCGTAATTTCTAAGCCCACGTACTTTCGAACAGGGACTGATTACTGAAATTATTTCGCTAGCATTTTTATATCGATATATTGTATATACCATTATTTTATAATATTAGTATTTACACACGGAGCAAAATATTTTGACGGCACAGCAAATTGTTAGTTATTATAAGGACAGTGAAAAAATTCGTTGAGAGTATTAATTGCTATTTGTTGGATATATAGACAGTAAAATAATTTGATTGGTGCCAAATTAAATTTTATCGCTGTCACAACCAACGGTTTCACTATAACAGCGAAGTTATTTTTTCCGTGTAACAAATCTTCGTTAACCTAGTATATAACAATTTGCTGTGCCAGCAAAATTATTTTTCTCCGCGCGAAAATTCGTTCTTCTTTCGGTTGTTATGCAATAACGAAAAATACCGATGCAAAACTGGTACTTCCAATATCAGCTTCAATCGTTGCCTTCGAACAGATCGTTACCGATCGAAATATAGGATTTTACCGAGAAATCTTCAAGATTAAAGTATCTCAACATTGCACTTCTTTCTCCCGTGCCAGTGCTTTCTCGTCGACAAGCCGAAAGTCACGCCGGGCGATACTTGTTTCGAGATTAATGCGATATTAAATGACACACGTCGACGGACAACCGGACAAGTTGTCCTCGATGTGGCCGCGCGTAACACGATCCTTCGTGAAGTTTTATTATTCTCGATCGCTGCAAAATGGGTTTTAATAGATGATCACGCTACGTGTGCAACGCGACGAATTAATC